CCCCACCCCCAGCCCTCGGTCAGATGTTTCCAGGAGGGAGGGTGAGAAAGGAAAGAAACCTGGGAAGGGGAGGGGGGCACACAAGTCTGCATTTCAGGTTGGCCTCTGGACTCTGAGCTTCCACAGCTGATATTGCTGAGTCATCTGACACCATAAATCTTAGTGGGGTTGTGACTCTTAGACCCCAGCTTCAGGCACAAAGTGCAAATAAGGGGCAGGGGTTCTGGATTCTGGTTCTCAGTAATGCATTCACCGTCGGCCATCCTGAAGCCTGTGCCTTAGTTCTAAGATGCTCTAGGGACCCCACCCCCCTCACATCCTGTGTCCTCTAGGGTTCAGCCCTGAGGCATCAGGCAGGGAGTAAGAGGGGGCCCAGAGAGGAATGTCCAGACAGGCCCACATACCTGTCAGACGCCCAGGAGGCTGGCTCTGCTCAGCCCTGTCTGGGGCCGAGAGGGGCAGCAACGAGGGGGCCCTGTTGGCAGAAGGAGGTTGGCAGGAGGAATAGAGCACGACAGCTGCAACCCCTCCCTGCCTCTAGGGAGACTCTCACCCCAGCCGTCAGTTCTGCTCTCTCTCTCTCTCCCATTCCCTGACTTTGCGTCCTGCGATCTCTGCTGCACACTGCGCCCCACTCCCCCCAACTCCTCTCACTCTTCCAACTTTGTAATTTTTCCTTCTCTCGGAGCTGTTGCTCCCTGGGTTTCCTCCTCTCCACCTTGCGCTCTCTTGGTTTTGGTCTGCTCTTTTCTCTCTTCCATCCACCTCACCCTCCCCATCTAATTTTTTGTCGGTCCTCTGGACCTTTCCCGCACCCGGTACCCCCAATCTGTCCGCATCCGCCGGCTCCTTTGCTCCCTGCAGGCCGTACGGAGCCACACGCGCACCGAGTGCAAGTGCCATGGGCTGTCGGGCTCGTGCGCGCTGCGAACCTGCTGGCAGAAGCTGCCCCCGTTCCGGGAGGTGGGCGCGCGGCTGCTCGAGCGCTTCCACGGCGCCTCGCGTGTCATGGGAACCAACGACGGCAAGGCTCTGCTGCCCGCGGTCCGCACTCTTAAGCCGCCGGGCCGCGCCGACCTGCTCTACGCCGCCGACTCGCCCGACTTCTGCGCTCCCAACCGGCGCACCGGCTCGCCGGGCACGCGCGGCCGCGCCTGCAACAGCAGTGCCCTGGACCTCAGCGGCTGTGACCTGCTGTGCTGCGGCCGCGGGCACCGCCAGGAGAGCGTGCAGCTCGAGGAGAACTGCCTGTGTCGCTTCCACTGGTGCTGTGTGGTGCAGTGCCACCGCTGCCGCGTGCGCAAGGAGCTCAGCCTCTGCCTCTGACGCGCCGTCCGGCTCTCCAAACCGCGCGCCCCTCGGCATCTGCGGGACCTCTGCAGTCCGGCGGGGGCGCTGCCCCGCTGCTCGCAGCGAAGGTCCATCTCCCAGGCCTCCGCCAACTGTGAGGCGGCGGGGGCTTGAGATACACGCCCGCCCACGAAAGCGAGGGGCGCTGAAGGCCATCCACCCCGGGGGAGCGCTCTGGAGGGCCCCCGGGGGAGGCTATGTAGTCCCTCTCGCTCTTTGGCCCCCATATGGAAAGCAAAGAGCCAAACTCGAGGCCTCTGGACGCAGGACGCCTTAGAACTGCTGGCTATGGGGTGGGTGGGTGAGTTTAGTATCAATAAAAATATTTAAACCAATAGGACTGGGCCCACAGTTTGGGAGGGAGCTGGCCTCCTGGGGGCCACCTTGGGGCCAGGCTTCCGAAGGAGTGTGTAAAGGAAGATGGTTTTGATAGAACTAGCATCTCAGGGGTTATCACCTTAGGTCCCTATCTCCCCTACTGAATTAGGTTCTCCTGGCAACCGTGGAGAAGAGTGCGGATTCTTCTGGTTCACCCTTGTCAAACATCTCTGGCCTGGATCTGCAAGCTGGGAAAAACCTAGCTGTCCTTCTTTAAAGGGACAGACTGAAAAGGTCTAGGAAAAGAAGACCAAAAGCCTCTGGTAGTGTACTCAGCTCTCAGTCCAGCCCTCATCTTCTCTGGGGAGGGTGACACCTTTATCTGCCCTTCTGTTTCTGTGATTCTTGGGGACTTTGAGGGTAGACTTCTAGGGCCACCCAAGCCCATAGGATTAAAGCACTTTATAAACTGTAGAATGTGATGAGATTATGTTATTAGTAACATCAGGCTTTTTAACCACCAAAACTAACTTCATTGAAAAGACTGCCCCGATCAGCATTTCTAATCATACTCAGTGGGGGAGGATGCAAAGTTGTCCCAAGTTTCTCCGGGCACCCAAACACATTTCCTCCCTTCTGGTTCTTTCTCAGAAAGCTGATGTCGAGGCTGCAGGGACAGGGAGGAAAGGTTGGAGGTTCTGGGTTCTCCAGAGCTGGATCTCATGCCTCCATCTTCCCGCAGAGAGAATGGGGCGGGGCCATAGGCAAATGGCTAGGATTCAGAGCCCCAATTTTCCCACAGTCCAAATACTGCAGGAGAGAATGACTGCCTAGGTGTGTAGGCAAAGCATGAGCTTTGGATTCAGGCACTCTGTGTTTGAAGCTGCTGCTGCTGCTGCTGCTAAGAAGTTTACAATATAGGCATGTTAACCTCAGTTTCTTTGTCTATATAATGGAATACCATCATGTTTCAGTTATCCATTGCTGCATAACAAAGGACCCCCGAATAATTACTTCTCCTGATCCTTTAGGTTAGGATTTTTTTCAGAGTTCAGCTTGGTGGCTCTGCTCCTTATGGCAGGGACCAATGGTTGTGGTCATTCACCTGGCTGCCTTCTGCAGTGGCTGGGCCAGGCTGAACAGTCTAAGAGGCTTGACTCATATGTCTAAGTAGTGCCTCAGAGCTCCTCCAGGGTCTCCTCCTCTCCATGTGGCTAGCTTGGGCTTCCTTACAGCATGGGGGCCTTGATTTAGTTACACTTCTTACCTAGGCTGGCTTTCAAAATGGACATGCTGAGTGTGAAGGCAGAAGCTCCTTACAGTCCAGCCTTGGAAGTGACGCAGCATTGCTGTCACTCCCTGTTGCTCGACACAAGTCACAGAACCAGTGAAAATTCAAGGGAAGGGGAAAGGGACACCATCTCTCACTGGGAGAATGGCACCATTATCAGGACCATTCACATCCTCATAGAACCATGGGGAGGATTCTTCTGAGACATGAAAAGCACTTAGCATAGCATGTAGCACGATAGTTTATGTCAGGCTTATATTTAATAAATGGTAGTTTCTGTGAGAGTGGGAATAGAGAACTGATGCCTTGCAGGTATTGGGCAGACCTTGATTGCCAATGAAGATACTCAACTCAAACTAGCTTAGGTCAAGGGAATTAACTATGAAAAACAATTAAAAGGGAATTAATTACCTGGGAAGTGCAGGGGTGAGACTGAATTCAAGCAAAACTGAACCCAGAGGGCCAGACAATGTCATAGGTCTTTCTCCCTTGTCTTCTTCCCTCACTACCCGCCACCCCAACATCTATGGTTTCTAGCTTATCTCTGCCCTTCTTTTCACACTGCCTTCATTATCTCCTGCTGCAGATAGACCTTCTCTATATGTCAGCCCTATGCCCACATTCTTAGAGCTGGTGATCTAAAAAAGAATGGCTTTCCCAGCCAAAGTCCTAAGGAAGACCCTGATTTGGTCAGCTGGGGTCACTTGCCCACCCCCAAACCAATAACTGTCCAGGAAGATGTACTACCGTGACTGGGACTGGCAGCCTGAGCTAAGACCACAGGTATTGGGGGCACAGGGAGGAGAGTAGAGTTTTTCAGTGAAACAGAAGGAAAGGGAACTCACCCTGGATGTAACAGACCTTAACCATGGCTTTCAGTGTATCTGTCCTCCCTTCCCACAATGCCTCTGCATCTGCCTCTTGACCTAGCCTGGTTCAGCCCTCAAGAATCACGTTTGGGATCCCAGAGTGAGGCATATGTGGAGAGGGGTATCAAGCTGCAGTGGGAAGGAAAGGGCATCTGAATTTTCCTTCCTGCCTCATCCTGACTCCTTTAGGTCAAACGCCCGAGCTTCAGGGAAGTTGGGCTCAGAACCTTCAAATGCCCGAACTTCAGAGAATCTGGACTCAGAACCTCTTCTACTCAAGGGGGTTTGACAACTTACCAAGGGTGAGAGTGGAACTGGCATCATGGGCAGCATGGAGGAGAAATGAAGCTTGCTAAATTACAGTTATCTTCAGGGCTCTGCCTTCCCCAGAGCTGGGTTCAATACTTAATTAAAAAAAAAAAAAAAAAATCTCCTGCACTTCTCTCAGGGACCACAAGAGGGTGCACAGAGCCCAGCTTCCCTATTAACAGGGACCAACAGGACCTGCAAGCATCTGGGGAACTCAGAGAGCCGTGGACAGGAGAGGGTAGGATGAAAGGAAGCAAGGAGACCCACGGACCAGCTTGGGCCAAGCTGCTAGGGTTCCAGACTGTCTCGGACCTCTGGGCTGACCCAGACCTAGGGGCGGACGCCTGCGTCCCAGTGTCTATTGCCAGGTCTTGGTGCGTGGTGTGGAGTAGGTGATGCTAGACTCCCCCATGAGCCAGAGAAGGAAACTAAGACAGTGGCATGAACTGACACCACCCCAAGCAGGTGAAAAGGAATTCAGAGGAAGTAACATGATAACAGTGAGGAAAGGCCTAGTTTGCCAGCTTGACCTTGATCAAGTCAATTAATTTCTCTGAGCCTCAGTTCTCCCGTCATGGAATGGGGGTGCCTGATAGCTTTTTAGTACACTGGAAGAGAGCACTGCAATCTTCAAACCGATGGTCTCATGTTGGTGGTCCATTTTCCCTGACCAAGCTCAGCAGGAGTCTGGGAACCACCTTCTGTGAAGGGTGAGAGCCTTGGCCTGAGAGGCACCATTTTGAACATTATTTTGGTCATCTTTAAGCTCAGAGATGGCTCTGTGCTCTTGCACTGCTGCCTGGGAAGAAGGCTGGAAGCAGAGCTCAGAAATACGCCCCCCCCCCAACCCCCTTGCTTACCCAGCTGCTCAGCCCCAGGCACCGTCTGAGCCATGAAGGTTCCCTGCTGGCTGAGTGGTGGGGGACATGTGGTACCAGGGACATGGGGGAAGAGCACAGAGGCGCCCCAGATGTGTGCATGACCACATCAGGGAGAGCCAGAATGCAGGCAGATGGGTGGGGAAGCTGCTGGAAGGCCCAGGATCAGCCTAAGGCCAAGGGCTCATTTCCCCTTCCTTCCAATGACCAAATACGCTAGGAGTTTGGGGGACTCAAGCAGCTAGTTATTCCCCCTTACCTTGCTGAGGGGCACTGGTCCCTGAGGCCTGAAGGATGGGATAAAAAGCTCTCTTCTCGGTCGGTCTGGGGCTGCTTTCCCCTCCTCTTCACCAAGATGTTCTCTTGCAGAACATCAGGACTGAGCTTGGCCTGGTCCAGGTTGGGGCTGTGAGAGTCCCACCTGTTCTCACCCTGGTGCCTCCTCTAGCCCTCCCTTCCCTGTAACCTCCTCCAGGGTTGCCACAGCTGGAACCATTCTCTGAGCTGCCTTTCATCTCTGGTGCCCCCCCCCACCCCCAGTGGCCCCTGTAATTGTGGTCTCAGCTGGCGGCTGCGGGGGCTGGGGCTGGGCTGAGGGCCAGAGCCAAGGGCAGGGCCAGGGTGGGGTCTGGGGGTTGCTGATAGGGGCTTGCCCATGGCAGGGGTCATTTGGGACTGGGGCTCCAGTCACACACTCTTTCTGGGCCTCATCTCCACATATGCCAAGGCCCCTGTGCCTACATATGCCCTCTCCTCTCTGCACTGAGAAGTGCCCCAGGCTTGGGTACTTTTAGACCCTCATGACATCTGGCCAGAACTACGCCCCAGTGCAAACAAGGCTTGAGAATCATTATTTGCCTCCTGGGATTTTCAAAGAAGGGGACTTCTCCCTCTCTTTTACACCTCTGTATTTCTTGAGCTGTTAGAGGGTGGGGGAGCAAAGAGACCTCCCCTTGGCAGAGGCAGGTCAAAGGAAAAAGAAATCAGTCCCTCAAGCAGGTCAGCAGAATTTCCCAAATGTGGTCCTCATGAAAATCACTTGGGATACTGCTAGAAATGCAGACCCCCCAGGCCTTGCCCCCCGACAGGCTGATTCAGCTGCATTGGACCGGGAATCAGTATTCCCCACAATGGTGTACCCCAGGGGATACCTATGATGAGGCATCAAGCCTGGAAAGGCTAGTGTGAGCTGTATCTGGGGAGTAAGGAGGTCTGCAAGCTGGATTATGAAGCCATTCCCTGTCCCAGGTTGGGCCTCTTCCTAATCCTTTCTGGGTCTCAGTTTCCCCAACAGCCTGGCTTGTCCCTGTGGTGCCTTCTCCCACCTCAGGCTCCTGCCTACCTTCCTGTGCTGAGTCTGGTCCTGCCCTATCCTTCCCCATACCCCAAACCCTCCCCAAACTCTAGTCCCAAGCTGTCCCTGTCCTGCAGCATGGTGAAGGAGAGTGGGGAGGGCAGGGGGCGGCTGGGGTCAAACAAGGCTCTGGCTGACGCAGACTGCTTCCTGCCCCCGGCTGTTTTCCTGCTGTCCAGCCAGACTGCTCCCCCCATTGCCCCACCCCCACCCCCAGCAGCCTCAAGCCCTTAATTCCTGACAGCTGCGGTGGCTGCCGGCAGAGATGGGGGGAAAGGAGGGGGGAGGATGCCGTCAGCCTGCTGTTGCTCGGGCTGCCCCCACCACCTGACAGTCTGGGGACAGGGAAAGCCCCACCCTTCTCCTCCAATTCCCCAGGGATGGGCAATTCCAGGACCGGGCCCCTTTTGTCTCAGAGCCCAGAGGCTCCGGTAGTTTGTCCTTAAACCAGGAGAGGGCAATGAGGTTGGGAGGGAGGTATGTGTGTAGTAGAGTGAGAGGCTTGTGCCCATTGTACAGAGGAGGATGCTAAGGCCACAGTGGGAATAGGATTCACTATCGGGGCCCAGGTTAGAACCAGAAACAGAAGCTGGAGCCTCTGTCCCCAGCCTGCTGTTTCCTCAGGTCCTTGCCTGGCTGTAGTGTTCAGCTGGGGCGAGAGGACATGAAGGAATCCCAGAGAGGAGTGGGCCTGAGTCAGGAGTCCGGTTTTGGGTGGCTCCCAGAGAACCAAGTACAGGTAGCAAGGGCCAGGCAAGATATGGAGCATCTGCAGGAAGGCCCAGGCAAGCAGCGCTCAGTGTTGGGGCCACTGCTGCTGTGCTCAGAGTCAAGAGGACTGGGTTGGATTCCAGCTCTTCATTTGCTGTGTGACCTTGAGTAAGTCATGGCCCTCTCTGAGCCTCATTTTCTTAAGAAATAAAAGGGGACAAAATACACACTTTTGGGATTAGAAGGCTCTCTAATACCTCTCCCAGGGTGTGTCACCCCAGGGAGTTCTGCTCCCAGACATTTACTGGAGTCCCAGCACTTTGACCTTCATTGGTTCACTGATCAGATGAGGTGAGCCTCAGTAACCTCATTTCATGAAAGGGCAGAGGGTGGCTCAGTGAGCACGAGGCACCTGTTTAAGGTCACACAGGGAAGAAGAGCAAAATCCAGAGGCTGCCAAACCCCTTTACAGGACCCCCCCCACACACACACCTGCTACACCAGCCAAGCCTGGGAAGTCCCTCCTGAGGTGGGAGAGGTGGGCAGGGGGGCCAGCCCCTCCCCTCCAGTCCCTGCAGGTGTGTATGTTGGGGAGGACCGCTCCCCGACAGCTGTGTCTCAGCCAGACACACACACTTCGCAGTAACACACACCTTCTTACACAAACCAGCGCGCCCGGCACTGGCATCTCCACGTGCACGCGCGCACAGACCCCAACACCTCTCCTTCCCCAGCCCTCTGCACCGCCGCTTCCACCCCGAGTCTGGAGCCGAAGGGCGCTGTGGCCTCAGGACCCATACACGCCTCCACCCCCCGTAGTGACGTCACCTGGGGTAGAGCCCTGACACTCTGCGGGGG